GGGGGTGGGAGGGGGAGAGCCGGGCACCCTGCCTTCCCCCTCCTTCTCTCCTTGCCAAGGGGTGGGTGGTGGGGGTGAGGTGGTGAGCGAGACTCGGAGCGGGCTGCGGGGGATCATGCCGGGGGGGCTGCGCCTCAGCATCGCTTTCGCCGCCGACGCATCGCCCTCCATGGAGCCCGGACTTTTTCTACAATGACTTTCCCCGAGCCGAGCAATGCCAGCTTGAGTGGGAACCGGACGGGGCAGGGCAACCAGAGCGGTGCCAACCAGTCCTGGGGGCTGCAAGCCGAGGACCCCTCCGACGGCAATGGGACCACGCTGACTTTCACCTTGGATGTGCAGGCGGTGGGAGTCGGGGTGTTCCTGGCCGCCTTCATCCTCTCGGCCATCGTGGGGAACATCCTAGTCATCCTCTCGGTGGCTTGCAACCGGCACTTGCAGACGGTCACCAACTACTTCATCGTCAACCTGGCCATCGCCGACCTGCTGCTCAGCACCACGGTGCTGCCCTTCTCGGCCACCCTGGAGGTGCTGGGCTTCTGGGTGTTTGGGCGCATCTTCTGCAACATCTGGGCAGCTGTGGACGTGCTGTGCTGCTCCGCCTCCATCATGAGCCTGTGCATCATCTCTGTGGACAGGTACATTGGTGTCAAGTATTCCCTCAAGTACCCCACCATCATGACAGAGAGGAAGGCAGGGGTCATCCTCGTGGTGGTCTGGCTGTCCTCCATGGTCATCTCCATCGGGCCACTGCTGGGATGGAAGGAGCCACCACCACCGGACGAAAGCATCTGTAGCATCACGGAGGAACCAGGTTATGCCTTGTTCTCCTCCCTCTTCTCCTTCTACCTGCCCCTCATGGTCATCCTGGTGATGTACTTCAGGATCTATGTGGTGGCCAGGAGGACCACCCGGAGCTTGGAGGCGGGGGTCAAGAAGGAGAGGAATAAATCCATGGAGGTGGTGCTGCGCATCCACTGCCGGAGCGTGCTGGAGGAGCCTCTCTCCAGTGCCCGGAGCAAGGGGCACAACTTCAGGAGCTCCCTCTCTGTGCGACTCCTCAAGTTCTCCCGTGAGAAAAAAGCAGCCAAGACTCTCGCCATCGTCGTGGGCGTTTTCATCCTCTGCTGGTTCCCCTTCTTCTTTGTCCTGCCTTTCGGTAAGTCACTCCTTTCCCCATCCCAACCCCACTAGCTGTGGCTGTGCTCCTGGGGACCTGCTCCTTGGGACAAACTTTGAGGACACGATTCATGCATGGAGTCAAGTCATATATACCAGATAGATGAACAATACAGCAACAGACTGATTAAATTAATTAGCACTTATTCGATATTCATTAGTCAAGTTCATATAACCAATCAAAATAAATAGCAGCCAAATAAAATAGCAACGTAATCATTGATTTAATTAATTTATCATTTATTCAGCACTTCAATTAGTGAAGTTAAGACTGGGGAGAGAGAAAGCAGATTTGTCTCTAACAGACTATACTTATGACAAAGCCGTCTCCAAACAACTTTGTAGCCTCTGCCTCCCTCCACCACTTCCTCCCGGTTCGAGGGAGGGCACCTGGGTCTGATTCCCTGGGACCAGTGCTCCCATCCCTGCTGTGAACTGCCGATGATGTTGGAGAGTGAGTGAGGCTTGATCCCCCTGAGTGAACTCCTCTGGTGGAGAGTGTTTCAGATAGAGGCATGGCCAGGGTCATGGCCAGGGTTAGTTTAGGTGTGCCTGGCCTCCACTATGTAGCTAGCCTGAGCCAGCAATTTGGGATTTGGTTTATGCCATGCAGAGGAGGAGGGCATGGCTGGCTAGGAAGTATCCCTTTCAATCTGGCTCGGGTGGGGGCCTGGCCTCTGCCCTCCCTGTCTCCGCTAACTTCCCGGGATGCTGATGTCGCGCATGGATCTGGACCTGGACCAGGTCTTATCTGCACTGGCATGACGGCGCTGGGCAATTGCCCAGCACTGCTCCTGCTCCACAAACTGCAAAGGGGAACTGCTGCTCCTCCCGGGTGAGTTGCACCCTCCGGTCCTGCCCCAGCTCTCCCAGCCCTGACAGCGGGTCTCTGCTGGTGGGTTCTCTCTTTGGGTTGTGCCGTAAGTTTTGGCAAGTTCTTTCAAAAAAACACCTAACTCAGGAGGCCGGGTTAACCCTGTGGAGTGATGTAGCTGAACCAGGGGGATAAAAGTTAAAATAACTTCCAAATGCTGGCCTTTGTGCAGAGCTCACAGAAGCGGAGAGGTCTGCTACACCAGCTGAGGCTCTGTCTGCTGTGTGTCCCAGGACCCTCCTGGGACCTCAGCAGTTGTGTATGAATAATCCCACAGCCAGGGAAATGTTGTAGCCAGATGTGCAATTTTTCTCCGGATTTTTCAAAGCTTCTTGCTTACGGCTTCCTCACAAGTGAATGGAAACAAAGCACCATGACCAAGGGAATAATTTCCCCTCTGGCACTGCTGAGCTCTCCCCAGGGCACAGCTGGAGCCCAGGGCCATTAGACACCTAACTGAAGCCACTCAATTAGGAAATGGCCCTCAGGTGGAATAATTCAGCACTGGGACTGATGATGTCTTGAAAGCTCAGGTCTCCCTGAGGTGGCAGGTAGGCTGTGAGGGGTGTCTGGTGTCAGCACATGGCTACTGTGCTTTTGAGCTCTCTGCCTCATTTTCTAGGTGAGGATGGCATTTGGTGAATGTATCTCAGCTTTCTGTAGGAGTAAAACCGTTGCTGCTGTTAGAGGTTTTTACCATATGTGAGCAAGGAAGTATGCGGTGTGACTTGGGGCAGTGAGCAGCAGGGCTGCTATGAGCTTCTCTTGATGTAAGACCCTGGCTGTGCCTCAGTTTCCCTTGCCATGCTCAGGCATGTCAAGGGATTTTTAGTAGTCTGCAAAGGGTCTTGAAATTGTGGGAGTCATGGAGGTGCCAAATATTTGAAGGTTGATCTCTGTGGACAGCAATGAGGCTCTGACACAGAGCCCCAGCCCAATGCTTGCCTCTTTGGCCCATCAGAAAGGTAGGAACCAGCTCTAAATCTCATTCCCAACTTTTCGTCCTAAAGCTAATGAAGCTAGGAATTTAGATTCTGACCTTCTGAGTTATTTCCAGTACTTAGGAATGGAGTGCAAACATCAGGCAAATACTTCTAGTGAAAAATATTTTGTTTTTCTGTACGGATCCTCCCTTGAAACTCTTGAACCAGCTTCTCTATTGATGTAAATCACTACCGTTACATTGAAGTCAAAGGAGATATGCTGACTTACACCAGCTAAAAATCCAAGCTTCTTTCTTTAAGTTCCTCCTGTGAACCCATTTGCTTCCTCCAAGCGTGCAACTTGCCAAGTTCTTTATAAAAATGGCTTTGATCTTTACTTCCTGTTATATTATGCATATAACATAAACACGGAAAAAGTCTATTTATTTTATGACTAGAAAATATGCTGCCTCTGATTTAATCCCCCCACACTTTATTAATTGCAATTTCCTATTCAAATCTGAGACTTAGTCAATGTTATTTAGGTGGAGAAAAGAAACTTCTGCAAGGTCTAATCTCTGACTGTACTGCTCAAAACAAGGATCTGAAATTCGGGGGAAATCAGCAAAGTTCACTGTAAACCCAAAAACTGGAACACCTTGGATCCATTTCTCTGTAAAAGGAGGACTATGAGTGCTTAAGTGGAATTTATTTTTTTATTTGTTTGTTGGATTGACTTAAAAGAAACCATTCTGGGCCAACTGGAGAAAAAATATTGAGTCATATTTCTAATAAAAATGAAACCAGTGAGAAACAAAAATCACTTTCAGTTTACTAGTATGTTTTTCTGATCTGAAGTGAAACATTGTTTCAGTTTAGGAAAAGGGTGAATGGGAGTTTATTTTAAAAATTATATATATTTCTTAGATAATTTTCAAAATGAACCCTCACATTAAAATGAAATGAAAAGCTGTTCTGAAAATGTCAAAATGAAATGTTTTGACTTTCTTATTTTTTCTACCGGACATAAAATTGCAAAAAGTTTCTTTGAACTGACCGTACTTTTTAGGGATAAGTAAATTATTCAACTGAAAAAGGACTCCCAGCTCTACTTAGCATGGACTTACCCATCAAACTTCTGTACTGGCTCTGTCACTGGCATCTGTGTTGATTTGTATACATCTTTGTAGCTTTCTGTGGAATGGTTTTCACGTTAGGAAAACAGGAGTGATATTTATCACATCAGCGTTGAGAAGCTGCAATAGCCAGTAATTTTAAATAACGGGATTTATGTATGTGCCAAGTGTTGTCAGTACTTTCTCCATGCTTGAATAATCTACGCACATGCTTCTTTAAATCAGCTCAAACTCTCAAAATACCTCCACAGTCTATTTATCAGCTGAGTAATTTAGCTCCCTCTTGGGTTTATGATACATGTCCCCAAGCATAAGATGCCCATCAGGAGTTTTAACACAATTAACAGTTTGCCTGGCTAATGAGACTCTTTAAGAAGCTATTTGCTCAACAAGAGATGAAATCCTAACCAGACATACAACTCTTGTGTGGGTTGCATCCGTTGCTGGGTGTGCAATACGGCTCTACCGAACTGCGTCCTCCAGGGACCCCAGGTGCTGGATGTGTATTTCATGCCTGGGTGTCTTTTCCTCCAGCAGAGATCTGTCAAGAGAATGCTATTAAAAGCTTCCTAAAGCTGTGGACCAGGATTTAATGATATTTTAGACTTTGTAGGATAGGTGTCATGTCACTGAGGCTGCCATCAAGCATCAGTGACTTCATCTCAGCTGGTCATAACGTCACAGGGATGCTGGTTGGAAAGGATCTCTGAAGGTCCAACCTCCCTCTCAGAGTAGGATTATCACCATTATATGAATTATGGTGTCAAATGTCCCTGTTCCTCTTCCTTTCACTACAAAGGCAGCTGGGGCATCTAATTGGCTGATGGTGTCGATGCTGCAGCTATTTGCAGAGAGGTGAAATGTAGCCTGCTGTGGGTTTTTTTTTTTTTTTAAAGTCTAATAGAAGCAAGATACCTGAGTGTTATTAGAAATCCCACGTGCATGCCTTAGCTTTTGTTGATGCCCCTCTTAATGAGTGCATGTGGGGTTGAAACCTCTTTAAAACAGAAAAGAATCTGTAGTTTGGCTTACCTCTGTTCTGTGCCTGGTTTCCTAAGGAATTGAGGTGTTTGCTGTGGATGACTGTCTGGCTGTATATGTTCTCCTCCAACCATTTTTGAAAGGATTGCCCTGTCTTGGTGAATTCCAGAGAGGCTGAAATCCTGAAGGTATTTGACACTTACGTTATCATGTAAATAAACAGGGAGAGGAAATCCTTTATTACACCCAAAGAAGGAAAGCTCAACCCTATATTAGCTCCAGCCTTTATTAGACACCAGAGAGGTCGACACAGGAAGTCGCTCTTAAGGCACACAACCACACGGGGTTCACTGGCTCTTCTGTTAATGGAAAACCCTGCTATAAATTAGATGCTGGATTTGTCCTTGCAGTAGACATCTATAGAGCAGAACAAGGAACCAGAACCCCTCATACAGAAAGTGTAGGTAGTTCACTTGCTCTCTTCAACCTGATGCAGGCAAAGGTAAGTAAAAATAGGAGGAGGAATGGAGCTGTGCTCCCCAGCCACTATAACGTGGCAGGGAAGCCTCCAAAGACAGCATGGGGCCCCACATGGGACCATCTTAGGAAAAGAAGCAAAGCCCTTCTCCATAACCATACCAGAAGCATCCAGGAGGAAACAATCACCCCTTGAGATCAAGAGTGCGCTAGCCAATACCCAAGATGATGATCTATGCTCCTCTACGCCTCTGTGATATTAGCAAGCGTAGTCCAGCCCAGGTGGTGTGTTTCCACCAGTGTTATTCTTTGGATTTGGTTAGAAGTCAAGCCCAGTGTGGAAAAGGCACAGCAGAACCCATAGCTAATGGCATGCAAGGGTGAAGGCCACAATGCAAGGTTCCCTCT